TGATGTTTTAATAAAGTTTATTTTGTGTCGGTAACGTGACCCAGACCCAATCACTCATCTGTTGATAAGAATTTCTTGCTTTCTTTATAATATTAATAATAATAAAAAATAAAATAAAATGGGATCTTTATGTTAAAAAAATTTTGATCTCTGAAATCTTTGGTAGTATCAATGTTCATTTTGCCTGGTTTTGTTGTTACGTGTAACATTGGTGAGTCATTCGAGTGTCTATCACTATACTAATTGCTAATATTCCATGTGGATAGATCCGATTATTCGAAGATCTGATTATTGATATAATCAATGGACTATATCTGTTTTTTTTGTTTAATATTACCAACAATTGAACTACACATATTTCTTGGTGTTCCATTTGGCGGATCATCTGTACAAAATAATTAAATAATTTATTGTAAATAAGTCTATAAGTCAGGAGAATATGATTGAATTATATAAAATTATACATTCCCATATAATTCTTGTAAAATTTGTATGTATTATTTTTTTTATCTCTAATATTTTTATTTCTCTAATATTTATTTAATTCAAAAATTAAGCAAAGTTTAATAAGCAACCAATTTTACATGCTAATTTAACATTATTGATATTGAATTATTGTTTATAATGGTAAAGGGGTTGAGACTTCTTGTTTTAGGTGATTATATAGTTCAAAATTTTGATAGTTTATCCATGTCATTGTTAATTAGTCTTATCTTTATTGTTTTATTAACATCACACACATATAAAAAATTTTGTTCCCATTAGATCCTTGTTCATACACCAGGTAGACGACAAAGTGAATAGCTCCTTATTTCTAGTTCTCCAATGCAAAATAAAGACATTGTAAGAGTTAGTTAATGAAAAAAATTATTTTTGTATAGATCTCCTTTATAATCAAAACATGTAACTCTCAGACTGGTCGGCACTTTCAGACTAACAAGATGTCAGGTGAAAGTGCATAGGAAGGACATGAGACGAGACAAAGCAAAGTTTCACATCAGCCTTGACCAAGCACAAACAACAAGAGACAGTCTGCAGAAGCAGAGATATTTCATGTCGATGTGGTCCGGTTGCCGTTAGCGAGGCATCAACTTTTTACTATTAAGTTTCAGCCATTTGGAAGGGTATGGTGTGATAGTTTACTAAACTAAAGACAGTCATACTGGTCCAACGCTAAACATCTTTCTATGAGACAGACATGTGTCATAGTCCAATGAGGCAATCACACAGTTACATAAAAGAACAAATGAAACTGATAATGTACCTTAATCAAACATAAATTCTTGAACTCGTCTTTTGATAGGGGTATTAGTAATTTCGCCAAAGCACCCTCCAACTTCCACATGAGTGTTTTCTACTTGGTCCTTTTCTTGATCGTTTCTTTTTCGTTTGATTCTATGTGCTCGGGCATGGAGTAGGGCAATTTTGTTTGATTTTTTGCATATGGAATTAAGGTTAACCTATAGTTGCATAAAATATTATTTCCTATTTTCTTTTTTTATTTCTAAACTGTTTGTTAGGAAAAATTTGTAAATAATATGAAAATACATTTATGTTTTCCATTTCAACAAAGAACTTTTCAAGGATTCCAAGTGTTTTTGTAGAATTGGGTAAAATAGTTGTAGATAACTTTCCATATCGACAGATATTTGTTCCTTTGCAATCCATTGCAACAATTTGATATTCCCAACCTTAATATAAAAGTATTTGTAAGCAGTTACAATGAATCCAATTTGTGTTAATTATAAGCTTACCCCAAGATTGGATACCAAAAACAAACATCTTATGTAATTCTTCATCAGGAGCATTTGAATTATAATTAAAAAATGCATAGAGAGTATCCCTCATTGTGATTGATAAGTCGAGAGCATCTAAAAATTTTTTTTTTCGGTGAGCTTCAGGGAGACCACCACTTCGGAGGCCTAATAATGCTTCTAATTTGGTAACACTGTTTTTTAATGTCCCTCGGAAATCACATTTTTGGCCAACTCGGGCACGAAGAATTATCGAACGACCTTCATTACGTCTTTGAGACGAAGCCCAAGAACAAATTTCCCCTCTAAAGAAATATATGTATGTATGTTAATTACATAAATAGCCACCAGTTATAATTTCTTGATATATTAAAAATCAAACATGATCATTCACATATCCATTTTCAATTCATTTTCATCAAGGGATCTTCTTGTAAGCATGTTAGTGAACAAATTATCGAAAGCAGACTCAGATACCGGCAAATCAACGTAAGCTAAATTCTCTGCACTATGAAATTATAAATATAGTTGAAGAAATTCAGATTACAAAATTTTTCCCAAGACAAATATTTGTAGTATGCTTCACTTACTAAACAAGAGTAGCTCTCTTGAATTTCATTAACATAATTTTGTCTTTAGGGTTAAGAATGATATTATGCTTTGTTTCCATTTTCTGTGGGGAGATGTTTTCAATTTCTGTGATAATATCTTCGCTCCTTTCATTACTTTTAATTATCTAAAATGAATGAATTAATGAGACCAAATCTTAAATGTAAGAGTATATTGACTGTCATTAATTACCAGTTCAACTTCATCGAAAAACAGATATAAAACATCAGGTATATCTTCTTTGTTAAATTCTATTTCATCTTCAAAGCTTTTTATCATTTCGGCCCAGTCTTTTGGGGAAAAAAGTCGTTTGGTTTCTGGGTGTGATCCTGTCAAATCGAGGATTCCCCAGTAGATGGGGCTATATAAGGAAAACAGCAGTTATCATGAATATTTGGATTTTAACACAGTTGATAGTAAAAAAGCTAACTCACTCAATACACTTTTGTGACTCTGGAATTTTTTGCCTGTATTCAGACAAAATTTGACCCACATCTGTACCACTAGATAATATCCAACGTCGAGTTCGATATATGGCATCTGGCTCATCTCTTTCGACATATTGGATGTCTTCATTTGGAACAAGTGCTTGGTTGTGTGTAGTAGAATCATCATCACCTTCATTATTTTCCACATCAAGTGCTTCATTCTCAATGCAGGCATATTCATCTGTGGTTTCATCCTTTTCCTCTGCAACTTCATTCGCATCTTCCTCCTGCAATTGTGTGAGATGAAGGGAGCTTAAATACATCTTTTCCTTTCGCGTATGGCCGTCTAAAGTGATTCTATATGACTCTCCTTGTTTACTTTCCCAGAATTTCGTCACTTCAAGAGATTTGATTGTTTTCTATAGTAGAGAGAAAAGTATTTAATAGTTTGCAACTTGTTTCATTTGCCTCACTTTGCCTCACTTGCATATATGCATACCATAAAATCCTTTTTCTCAGCTTCCATCTTTTTTCTCACTGGTTGGCTGATTGAGCTTTCTTCACTAAGAGTTGAAAGTATACTATAGTAAAGTCTATGAACTTCCTGCTTATCATCTGAAGTCAAATTAATCTTTGTGCCAATTTGTTGAAGACAATTGTAAAACCCTATGTTTTTAGAAATCGTCTTTCGATTCCAGTAATTGATAATTAAAGATTCGATAAGTTTTTTTCGGTATGAGTTCATTTTTTTGGATTTGTATATTAAATGGCTATTTACGCGAATAATAAACAACAAAATAATAAATGTTGGACGTGTCGACACAACATTACACAAAAAAAAAAATCAAAAGAACTAGACGCAGTGAGCACCAATTAAATTTAAGGGTAGAGTTCAGTTACACAGCACATAAAATTGAAACAAAACTTCTTGACAAAACTTTGTATATATACTCTCTAGGATTAAGGCTATTGGATGGTGTGCTTTTGATAAATTTTGTTAATAAAGTTCAACATATGCCACGAATTCTATAAGTAAAGTTACGAATTCTTGTCCTCTATGTTTTTGTTAAATTAAATGAATAATCTTCAAGTTAACCTTAATAACTATCGATTTATAAAAAAAAAATTTAGAAATTTATAAGAAAAAGTTATACTAATAATATTTCATTTTTATATTATATATATATATATATGTAGTAATAAATAGAAATGAGACTACCTTGGTATGAATCATTACTAGCTTTTAACATCAACCACAAACTCTTTACATAAGCAAACAATTTAGTAAGAAACGTTTTTTTTGGGATGGTTAGATATTCAAGTAATTATTCATGCAGGCTTCCATTATCTATATATATATCTTATATATTTGCAATGTATTATTATTTTTTTAATTTATCCAACAATAAAGTTAGATTGGTAATTTACGGGTGAAGGTTAAGGATCTCACCCACTCACTTGTTGGCTCTTATTCATTAATTCATTCGCCTAAGCTCAAGATTCTGTAAAAGCTTGGACATATCAAATATTTATGTGGCTTATGTGATTTGTAGAACGTAAAAATAAGAGAGGTATTACTTTATTATTGATTTGTCAACTGTATATAATAGCACTATCAATTATTCCTGAAATAATAAATTTAGATCATGGAGAAAGTAATAAATTAGTAAATATCATTAAACTTGGACAGCCACAACGCTTGGCTGTTTTTGCTAAAGGGTATAAACAATTATCAACAGGTCAATGTAATATATCTATTTTGTAATGATAAATTGTAATAACAAACGGTCATTATATCTGAATAAATTATATTTGTTGTTATATTAAATGGATTAAAGGCGTTTAACGTTAAATCATGTTGTGGTTTCAAATGATTGACACATTTTGCCATCCATTTCTATATGATATATTTTGTAAACACGAATTTTACTACGATACAGTTATAGTAATATTTTTTGACTGCCGATCATTAAAAAACTCGGTGTAATAACATCATTGTTATATATATTTGTTGTTATCATATCTTTTGAATCCCACAACTTTCATAATACGATTTACTCGAAGAAAAATTGCGTGAGATTAAACGTTGCACAGAATGTAAAACCACCGAATCAGCTAAATTTCGTCAACAAAAGGTAATAAATGGAAAGAAGCTGGGAACAACAACTTAGTGAAGGTAACGTGTTTTTTATGTAACATTTTTTATATGAATTTTGTAGAAAATCCTTTAAAAAGAGAATCTGGGAGAGTAAAAACTACAGATGCGGAAGGGGGTAAATGAAAAGATTGATTTCACTAGAGCCATCAAGGTCCTATATACGATTTTGATGAAATACAAAGATTGCTCCAAGAAATAGAACCAAGATTGAAGTGGTTTTTGACCAACTCTATTTAGCAGCTCTGCCATTTGAACATAATGAACAAATAATGGACCATAGCCCCGTCCCTAAATTCATTTAGTCATAAATTTTCACGTGATAAAAATATACACTATTTGGTAGTGATCGTCATCCGAAATTTGGACATTTATTAATATCAGCTCCCAAAAAATTAGGTAATTAAAAAATTTAATCTGTGGAATTTAAAGAGAATCAGTTAAGCTATTATTCGCAGCGTTTACTTTTTAAAATCGGTGGACTAGATACAGTTAGAAGTCATATGAAAATTTTTGATGAGTATAGGTGATACGCACCATATATGATTGGATATATGCTGAAAATGGATTTTGTGTTAATTTTCGTCTCATGAAAACTAGTTTTTGGTGTAGCTGTATATGAGACAAGTGATTTAAAAGAGGTTCGGGAATTATCTATCTTCACCGATCATTATATAAAATCACATGACTACACTCTACCCTCAAGGGTAGAGTATATATAACCCGAATTTCACTATGATCTACAGTGGCTAATTTTGATTTTACCTACTTATCAAGACGCGTAGAAATAAATAATGGTCAATTATTACCAAATGACTTTAAAAGCTTGTAACACCTTACTAAAAAGAAAAAGAAAAAAGTAAACTGATAGAATTAAAGCTAAAGATCCAAGCTTCATTTCCGTCAGTTTACCTTTTCATTTTATTAGAAAGGTTTTGAGTTATAAGGCTTCAAAGTTAGGTTTACACTTACATCCAATGGTGCCCACAAAATTTAGAAAATCAGTCAAATTTCCTATTTTCAATAATTTTTCTTACACGGTAAATTTTTTTTTTTTACCTTAAAATTTTACAAAAGTTATTTTTAGCTCCACCCGCTCTTCCTTCCACATCAGTTCAATTATTAATTTCTGAGGTCCTGGCAATGCATTTGAGTGTTCTTCTTAAGGATAGGGGAAATATTTCATCTTGATTACGCGGAAAATCCTCTCTTGTTAAGAATCTGTGCCATGTAAATCACTTGTGCGTTTATTACTATTATGATTATTTCATTGATATTCGTTGATAAAGTCATGAGCAGTTTTTGGCTGTACTCAAACCAATTGGATTTTAGAATTTTCAGGTTCGAACAATTTTAAACCGGATCTATATATGGAGATTAAGATCTGAATTTTTTAAAACCCTTTTTTTTTTTAGATATTGAAATCTGAATTTAGTAAAAGTTTTGAGTGAATTTAGTTATTGTTGTGTGTTGCAACAATATTAGTTAACATTTTGAAATGATTTGACCAAATCTTAATTTCAAACCAAGCTATAATAATAATAAATTAAATCCGGTTTAAGTACAGTGGAAATTAAAAGTGCCCAATTACAATCATGAAACATGCTGATTATCCATAATAATAAATCGAACCATTGTTTCCTAAAAAGAAAAGTCATACATAATTTTTTATACTTGATTAACACCAAGTTGATAATTAAACCAAACTTTATGGAATAGGTTTATCAGATATACGTAGACAAAATGGAGAATAGTAATTAATAACAAAAACCTCAAAACACGCACATTCTTTTGTAAGTTTTCTTATATATATTTAGTTACATTTTTTATCTCGATGAAAGATTTTTTTTTAGTTTTTATTTTTGTGCAAAAAAAAATAAAAAAATGACTACAAGGTCCACTTCTGATAAGATCGATGTTGAAATCGAAGAACAAGAACCTTCCACCCCAACTTTGCCTCTTAAAAAACCATGGTACAAGACACCTTCTGCATATTGGTTATTACCAATGTTTGTAGTGATAGCAATGACAAGCGGGTTGGCCGTAGCAGTTGGAGTGCAAATTTATTTAAGTGCTGCGTGTTATGAATATTATTCACAAAATGGGGAGGCTTCCATTCCTTTATCATTCCATGGTGCTATTGATGAATGTAATAATGCTGATGTGCAGGCAGTGACTGCGAAATTTCTTGTCAAAGCAAATTTTTGTACAGCGATTCCAGGTAAATAATCTTTTAAAAAGAAATAATTTGGCATGATTCAACTAATTTACCGGTGTGTATTATTAGCCATATTTGTTCTTGGACCACTTGGTTCTTTATCAGATCGGAAGGGGCGTAAAAAAACTTTATTGATATCAGCCTTCGGAACGCTTCTAAGCACGTTAAACCTATTGTTAGTTTGTAGATTTTTAGACAAAGTTGGGATGAATGGTTTTTTAATAGGATCATTCATAGACGGAGTAACAGGTGGATTTTATGCATTATCAGAAGCAAGCTATGCATATGCAACAGATTCTACTCATCCCACACGAAGGTAATTTTTGTATTGTTTGCTGGGGTAACAAAAATTTTCTCTAACATCTATTCCTAATTATTTATTTCTCTCGTACAAACACCCTCCTGAATGTTAATAGGAGTGTGATTTTTGGATGGATACAAGGGACAATGTTTGCAGGGTTTATGGCGGGACCAACATTAGGAGGATTGTTGGTGAAGGCAACAAATAGTTTACTTTCAGTATATTATGTAACTTTGGCAGTATATATTACGTTATTTTTATTTTACCTTTTTATATTACCTGAATCTTTAACAAAGGAAAAATTGGCATTGAATGTGAAGCGTCAACAAGAGCAATTTGCAATAAACTGGACGGGATTCAAATCGATTGATTCTGTTCTCAGATGGGTCTACGTTATGTTTAGACCATTGCTATTATTTCTTCCGAATGGGAGACGACAACAAGATAATGATAATGATAAAGTTCCTATCGCTGCTCCAAAATATTCATTCACACTATTAGGAATAGTATACTCATTGCTGTCATCTTCTATAATGGCAATGTCAACTGTATATGTATTATATACGTCATTAGTATTTAATTGGTCGTTACTAGACCAGGGTTATTTTGTATTCTTAATGAGTGGAACAAAAGTATTTGTTTTATTTGTTTTGTATCCATTAATAGTGAAATTCAAAAAACCGATACTTGGATTAACATCAAAATTCAAGGTAAAAATCCTTGCATTAATAACTCCTTCAAAAAATACAAAAAATAGCAGCACAGAAGAGAAAATAGTTGTTAAAGATGACAACGGTATGGATGTTGAGATTTGTACGGATAATGTGGATGATAAAGATGACGAGAAACTGATGAGAAATGAGCTAATATTCGAAGTCCGATTAATCAAATTGATATTCTTCATTGATGCTCTAGCTCACGTTGCATATGGCCTATCAACATCTAGTGCAGCATTTAACGCCGGTAATTTATTTTTTTATCTATACTTGCGATTTACCATTTGCTTCATCTTTCTAATTTATCGTCTCCTTTTCTCACTTCAATTTATTACAGTAACAGTGATAGCTTCTTTGGGTATAATAACTACTCCTGCAATAAAGTCGTTGCAGACAAATCTAATATCTCCATCTCAAATCGGACAATTATTAGGCGGAATAAGTGTAATAGATTCAATTCTTCGTATATTTGTTCCACCACTATTTGATTTTTTATATTCTGTATTAGTGAAAACTCAACCTAATGTAATATGGCATTGCATCTCGATCTTATTATTTATTGCATTTTTTGTTTCATTTGGCATACGCCCTGCTAAATAAATGTATATATACTACTGTATATTAATATTATTTATTATTTTCTAAATAAAACCAATTTTGATAATTTGTATAATAATAAATTATTTGGTTGCTAATTTATCAATATCATTCGTACAACAACAGTAACTCTACCACTTGAGCTTCAATTTGAAATATTTAAATACATTCTTGCATTCTTGCCAATAAAAAATGGCACAATATTAATATCCCAATTTTATGGAGAAATCCATTTTATTCCAATCGCAGCATCAACATAATAACCAACTGTTTACTGGAAGAGGAGGATAAAGTTTTCTTAACTAGGAATGGCATTAAATTAACCTTTAAGCTATTGGATAAACCACCATTATATAATTTTGCACTAGATTCTACTTCGCCGATGGTGATGGATTTCAAATCCACGAAAAGATTTATGGATCAAAAGAGATTGGTATAGTTTTATTTTAGATCATCACAAATTTGATAATTTTCGAAGTCTTGACGATTTATGTTCTCAATCATTAAATTTACATTAACAATAAATTAGAATATAGTCTGACTCAATTAATAGCACAACATGATTTTTCAAATAATTTCAAAAATGCAATACTTACACATCTACAATCAATAATTTATTATTCAAGCAATATAGACCATATATGATTGCCTGCACTTAAAAATTTAAAGACTTTATCATTAAGATCAACTACTTCATTATCTAAAGGATTTGCGGATAAAACATCAAATGAAGGAGGTTGATATCCACCATTAAGCTGTTTTAACAATTCTAAAAAATATGGATTTTTAATCGCTGAAAAAGGAATATCACACATTACAAATGCTCTTAAAAAGAGAACGATCAATTTCTTTTTTGCGTCCTAACGGTAAATTAATTTTATCATAAAACATGCAATGTGCTGCCAGCTACTGATTTTGGTCTTTTAGTAATCTGATTTCCATTATTGTCATTGTCATAATCATCATTACTACTTTCATCAAGAGGCGAAGACCCATATTCTTTTAAACAAGCATTTAAAACTGTGTTATGAATGTCATGAGGAACTTGTAGACAATTATTAGGTAGATGAGCAGCCATTCTTTTGGGGTTTCCACGATTCCAAACTCTTTTACAAAAATTACATGTTGCTTCGTAATGATCATGACCTGTCATTTTGAAGTAGTTCCAGACATAAGAAAATTGTCTACCTTTTCTTTTATTTAATGCTTTTTTAATAGAAGACCTTGATGAACTTGAAGGGAAAGAACTATTGTTGATTTGGTTGGAAGGAAAAGAGCTATCTTCATTCTCATCAGGAGGAAAAAAGTTGTCTTCAAAGATTAATGTCATTGATATTATTTGTCATATTTTCATGAGAAATTTTTTTGTAACTAAATTTTTTTGAATTGATGAATTTAATTGGTCAGTCGTTCGTGAAAAATAAAATTTGCTATTACTATATCTATTCGTGGCAAGCCGTAATTATTTTATAATGGTAACTACCCTATGGTAGCTACCATTGCCGCAAATAACCAATTACAGCAGGTGTCTTTAGTAAGAAATAGATAAAATTCAATCATGGTCTCCATTATAATCTTGGTAAGAAATGGACCTTTGCTACCATGGAATAAAAAATTTAGACTATGTATCAGTCATCCGTAATTTCACGGGATCGACATGTCTACTGCTGTAGTAGTATGTATTTAAAAACAGGACCCTCTATTTTGCAACATATATTCATACCAAACTACATAATAATTTCACAAATTATAATAACTTGTATATATATCTTTGCATTCAGAATGTGAAATTTTGATCAAATGTAAACCAAGCCATTTGGAGCTTTATCTGTGATCTATTTATCTAATACTGTAATAATATGAAATAAATATATAAAAACCTATTAATTTAACAATAATTATAGAAAAACTAACCACCACCTTTTGAAATCTTGCAAATCACTTGATTGACTTGATCAAAGTTGACTATAGCAATAGCATTCTGCTAAAAGTATATTCAAGTAAAATACCATTGTTTTACTGTCACTTATTATTATATCATTTACATTTCTAGTTGCAATGCCTGCAATTATCTGCAATTCCGCAAATAAATCCTTTTTATAAAATTAAATCAAAATTTATTTTATTCCCTGGCACCTAAATAAAGTTATTTCTAAGTTATATAAGAATATTATAACAATTTTTTTAACGGGACACATGAAAAGGACGGGAGACGGGCAGGTGTAGCTTGAACCCATCCCCGTCCTTTTCCAGCATCCCATGTTAACAATGTTAAAAAATAACCATTTCATTATAAACTAAATATTAATGTTTGCAGATTTGCAGCAGTTCCCATCTTTAGTAACCAATTATTGATTAATTAGTGAATTGTGTTCAGTGGGTAGGACCACACTACATCTGTCAAACTGAATACGACCAGATCACCATCCACAAGACTAGAATTAGCATCTCTAAATTATTTTGCACTGCTAAAGAACAGTAGACCAAAAAATTCCTTTATATTCCTGATAGAAAAAAATGAATGAAGGTATTTTTTTCTTACACAGTAAATAACTATTTTAAAAATATGTAGTAACAGTAAAGGATTTTACATCATAATTTAATATTTTGCTTTATAATAAAATAATATTTAGCTAAATTCTATAAAGGTAAATATATATTTTACAAAATAAAATTTATTAAGGCATTACCTGATCAAATAAATTTATTTTTTATTCTTAGGATGTAAGTGTTATATTATAACTTTTACAACACAAAATAAACTATATCAAAACATCATTAATTAAATAAATTTTTTTTTTATTTTTTTATAATAACCAGCTGGTAAGTATTATATTATAAATTAACTTTTACAACACAAAGTAAACTTTATTAAAACATCATCTAATTAAATAATTTTATTTTTTATTTATATAATTAAATTTTTTTATTTTTTTTATTTTTATAATAACCAGCTGGTAAGTATTATATTATAAATTAACTTTTATAACACAAAATTATAATTTTTACTTTGAATGAATAACTATTTTTATTATGTTAAATAATTATTTGGAATAATAAGATGTTATTAAAGAGTTTAACGAAAGAAAAGAAGAATATGGAATCTGTTCTGTTTGTGCAAGACATAACACTAATTACAAGTGGTGTCAATCATGTGATCCCAAATTGTTAACACAAAGTTGGACTAGCAGTGGTAATGAAAAATTAGATGAAATAATCAGAAATACACAGCTTGAGGCAAAAGGATTTAATAGTTATTATTACCTTGAATGGGTTCCTTATGACCAACTCAAAGTTGAAAAAGAAATAGGTGAAGGTGGCTTTGCAATTGTATATAAGGGTTTCTGGTCAAATGGTTTTAGATTTGTTCATGAAAATAAAAGACAATATAGTGCTAATAGGTGTGTAGCATTAAAAAAATTAAAAAATTCACAAGATATTTCTGAGGAGTTTTTAAAAAAGGTAAGTAATTTAATATAATCAATTGACAATAATGATTTTTAAAATATATTAATTTTTATTAATTTTCATGAAAGCTTCAAAATTACATCAGATTTACAGGACTATATAATAATGTTGTTAATATTTATGGCATTTCACAAGATCCTGACACAAAAGAATATGTTTTAATAATGAGATATGTACTTGGTGGAAGTTTAAAAAATTACATAAAATCAAACTATAAAAATTGGGATGAGGGAATTAAAATACTTTATATTATTATCTTAAATTTAAATGCATTTCACAAAAAAGGACTTATACATTATAATCTTCACAGTGGTAATGTTCTATATTTTAAATATGCACATCAAGCAATCATTGCAGATCTAGGGTTATCAGGCCCAGTCAATCAAGAAACATCAAGCAAAAATGATATATTTGGAGTACTGCCATATGTTGCACCAGAGGTATTAAACAAGAATACTTATACACAAGCATCTGACATTTATAGCTTTGGGATTTTAATGTCAGAATTGTCAACATGCCAACAGCCATTTAATGATCAACCACATGATCTAAACCTTGCTTGCAGTATCTGTAATGGTTTAAGGCCTGGCTTTTCAGATGGTACTCCAGAATGTTACATTGAATTAGCATACAAATGCATGGATGCTGATCCTGAGAAAAGACCAACAGCAAATGAAATTATAGAAATTATTACTTTTTGGAAAGATGCAGTTCTAAATTCATATAAATCTAATTATCCTAAAAAATTGCTTGGTGAATTAGGAAGAATAAGAAAAACATTTAAGGAAGCAGATAAAAAATCTTTTAACCCTTCAAAAATTACTGCAACTGTTCATCCAAATGCTGTTTACACAAGTAGATTATTGAATTTTACAAATCTCCCACAATTTATAAACTCCAACAAAGTTCCAATCATTAGTAATAATAATGGTAATTATCATCTATTATTTGGTTATTTATTTTAAAATTCAATATCAACATTGATTACATTAACATTATTTTAAATTATCATTTTATATAACCTAATCAAGTTGATTTGGATATTTTGATAAACACACTAACTGAGAAATTAAACAATGAATTAAATGATTCATTAAATATAAGAATTGATTATAAATCAGGTGGATTAATTAATTTAGTTGAATTACTTGAATTAGTTGAAATATTAGGAGCAATAAGTAATTGTATTGATTGTAAAATAAAATCATTAAATAATAATGAAATCAAAATTTTACTTGGTAAATTAATTGAAGTGAGTGAAGATCTCTTAAACAATTTAGAAATAAATATGTCATTTGGAGGAGTATCTGGATTAGATAATAAATTATGTTATAATTGTTACAAAAATAGGAAAACATCTAACAAGTATGGAAATAAAGTATTAGCTAGACTTTTTCATCAACATAATATGGATTCAAAAACCATTAAATGGATTCCATTTAATGAATTTAAACATGTGAAATATTTAGCTACAGGTGGATTTAGTGAAGTTCACAAAGCAACATGGATTAATTACTATGAACCTTTTTTCCAGAAATTTGGAGAAAAAACAGTTGCATTGAAGAAGCTAAATTCTTCTAATAATTATACCATGGCTATTATTAAAGAGGTAAAATATTTGAATATTATTTTTATAAATATTATTTAAAAATATTGTTATTTAATTTTTTCATAACAAATATTATTTTTTTTTGTAATTTTTTAGTTAAAAGCAAATGATAAGCTTTATTTTTCTGCCAATAAATGTTTTGGAATTACAAGAAATCCAAATGAAAATGATTATATGTTGGTGTTTGAGTGTGCCCCAAATGGAGATCTGCATAATTATTTATCAAAAAATTTCAAAAAAATTTATTGGAAAGATAAAATTGCATCTCTTTATTGGATTTCATTTGGGTAAAATTTGAATTACCATTACATTATTATGTTTTTATAATATGATTAATTCATTTATTATTATTAAAATTTAGATTAAAGAATATTCATGAAAATCATTACATTCATCATGACTTACACAGTGGAAATGTTTTTTCATATGATAACAATAAGAATGTTATAGGAGATTTAGGGTTATGTCAACAAGAAATAAACAAAAAAGAAAATCCAAATAAAATTTATGGCGTTATACCATACTTGGCACCTGAAGTATTATCAAAAAAATCATATACAAAAGAAGCAGATGTATATAGTTTTGGTATGATTATGTGGGAACACACTACAGGTAAAAAACCATTTTATGACAGACCACATAATTCTTGCCTTATTCGGGATATTTTGAATGGAGAAAGGCCTGAAATTACTAATGACACACCTCAATTCTATGCTGATTTAATGCAAAGATGTTGGGATGCTAATCCAAAAAATAGACCTGATGCTAATGAAATAGAAAAATTCTTTGAAAAATATCATTATAATCCTTCTAATAAAGATAATGAGAGTATTGAATTAGCAGAAGATAAATTTTTAGAAATTATTATTGAAGAATATTATTCGTTAGATGAAAAGAATTACAAATATCATTCAGAATCATACTATACAAGTCGTTCACTAAATGAGTTAATTCAGCAAACTGAATCATCAAATCTTTTGTCAATGGAATCAGTTTAGCAGTATAGTAATATTCAAAGTATATATATCTCAGAATCTATTGGCTAAACAATCTTTATTAATTGTATGGGTTTAATG